GCTATTTATTTTTTCTGTGAATGATTTTAACGCTTTAGGATTATTTCCACCATTGTGTTAAAGTTTAAACAAACTAATTGAAGATTAAAATGGTGGAATCGGCCCCAAGTTAGTTATATCATGGTCATTGATTAGTTGCAATTTTGCAAATAATATATTCTCCAGCACTTACGCCCGTATGCACCGTACACGTTTAATCCAGATCAAGGGTTTAATCGCGTTTAGTACCATAGCTAAAAATGGTACTAAACGCGATTAAACCCTTGATCTGGATTAAACGTGTACGGTGCATGCGGGCGTTAATAGTCACTTGAGTGATAATTAAATCAGTTATATTTTATTTCTTTCATTTACTTTATTCAGCACCTCTCGGCTGAAAACCGGGTATATTTAAATCTTTAGACCCCCTTCTTTTGTAACCTTGGCCTTCCACCACCTTTTAAGTCAATGTGTAAGTTTTTATCTATAATAAAGGAAATTCATTTTTTATAGTTCAAATAATGATACTTAACCAGAAATAGTACAATAAAAACTTGTAAATCCGGTTCTGCTCTTCCGCCATTTTAGTGAGTGCAAAAGCCACGCCTACCGGTCCCAATTTTGTATATCAAAAATAATTACATATGACGTATCCTTACGTTGCCAGATCAATGGATAATACAAGTTTCCTAACCTAAAAAAATCGTGATTATATGTCAAACAAGATTGAGTTGAGTATTTTTTACAGTGATTTAGTGGTTAACTAATGTATATTCCACTAATTTAGGTTCATATCATTAATATAGGTGGATAATATGAATTTAAGTTGAAAAATTAAGTTTTTAACTTTTTTTTTTGACCTTTATTGCCTCGTAATTTGGTGTGAGTTATTTTTCAAGAAGAAGCCATTTTATATTTTAGCGCCTGCACTGGATTTTAACCTTTATTGCCCTCGTAATTTTATATTGTTTTTCCAGTGAGTGAAGATTCAATGATTTGAGTACATTTTGCAGTACATTGGCAGCGGTGATTTAATTTATTTTAATTCGTTCACTAGCTGTTCTCTATCGTGTGACAGATCAATGAAAGCCTGATTACTGATAATTTTTTTTGCAAATTCTGACAATTTGAGTTTTGAGGAGATTGAAAATTGACTCCAGTACATATTGACATGAAATGTTAAACCTGGCTCACTACAGTTCATCAAATTTCTAGAGGCTTTCGACGGCTAGACAGAGGAAGCACTACTGACAGGCATCCCGACGGATTTACGCAACGGAAGTACACTCTGCGCATCAAGTATTTCACTATTTCATTCAGACGTAAATGTCAGATGTAAATTTCGCTAAAACATTTCTTTTATTTTCGTTTGTTTTTTGCTCATTACAGTTTAATAGAACCTAAGTATGGAGTTTAATAGCAAATTAAGAGGCCGCGTGATTAACAGTCAATCTCGCGAAATAATTACCAATGTTATAGAGTTTATGAGAAGAGAAGGAAACTTTAATTCACCTTCAATACCATTTAAAAATGTAAATGATCGTGTTGCTGCAGTCACAGGGGTATCTAAAAACACTGTCGTCCGCATTTCTGGAGAGAAAAAAAGAATCGATAACCGTGAGATATCGGAATTTTCATCACCAAGAAAAACCATTAAAAAACCAAAAACAGTTAATGATATAGATGAAGCTGCACAAGAATCAAATTTTATTTTTTTATTATTAGATAGCTATTTTTGTTTCTGAGTTGTGTTTATTTACAGGCTCATTTTTTTTCCGTTTCTCCTTTTTGATTTTATATGGGGTTTCAAGTTGTTTTTGACTTATTTCGACGTAAATCACAACAACACACTTCTTTAATAAAGCAAACAAGTGTTAAGAGGTATATGTACGTGTAAACTACAATTACAAAAAATTGATATGAAACCCATGAAACCATGCACCAACAAAAATGTAAAGCTAGCTTCCGTACTAGAACATGGTGTCATTCGTCGAGATAATTTATCGTTTTGTTTAATAGATCAAGAAATGTAAATATTCCCTTGTTATTTTTTATAAAATTATAAGAGAAATAAATTTTTTTCTAAATAGTATAGTTTATTATTTTGTAGAAAAACAAAATTTCGAAAATTTTAGTAATGTTTCAGAAACAACCGTTATTAATAATAGGTAACATTTTCCTTAATAAGGTAGAAATAAAATATAAACTATTTCCACGATTTACAAAGGCCTACAAAAAAATTATAGGTATTTTCCGCTATCCTATAAAATTTATATTTTCTGACTCAATTTCAAAAGGTTGAAGGAATTCCAAAACACCTTTTATGGCATAATAATTATTTTCAATTCTACATACTATCTTTAGCTGCTTTTAAAAACGTTCTAAGAAAGTCCAATCAGACCAATTTAATCCCTAAACTATTCCACACTTTTAAAATTTAATTACCTAAAAATATTAAAAACTATTTAAAATAACTTGTTTAGCAGACTGTACAATAGCTATCTTAGTCACACGTAGCGCGTTCTCTGTCTGGGCGTCGAACATCTCTAGAAATTTGATGAACTGTAATAATAGAGCGGAGATAAAATCACTTTCAAACTGCCATTTTTATAAAGCTTCTTTTCATCTTTCTCTTCTTTCATCTTTCCTTTTCACTTTCTTAGTACTTTTTTATTAATTAATTTAGGCACAGTTCCTGATAAAGGAAGCTACAAAAGTAAATGCTGGTTAATTAATAAGAAAGGTACGCTACTCTACTTCTATTTCTACTATCCATTTTCCTTTTAAGTTTTCTTATTTTCTTATTTTTGAGTGGAATTTTTTATATAACCTACAGGGTTATTTGGCATATGAGATTCAGTTTTTCAAGTTATTGTCGAAATCCACTATACTAGTGGATAATTTTTTTGCAATCCTTATTAATGGATTTAGTTAAATGTATTTTAAATTTCTGGAAACCTTAGGTTATTTTTATGGAAAAGGATTTTAAGTGATATAAATCAAATATCATATAACGATTTAAAATTTGGTGTATTTTACAAGTGGAATAATTTGTTAGATCACTAATATTAAATTAATTCCTATTTCATGTTCAAGTAACTCATATTTAAGTTAATTAATTTATATTAAATTATTCTCTTAACAAATTAATTTTTGATACCACTTCATGGTTTTTAAAATAAGCTGGGGTGTGATTATTTAAGGAAAACTTACCTTATGTGAAGTGGGTTTATTTTTGCCAATTAATATTAGCTAAGTAATATTCTAAGGGCCATTCGCACCGCTTTTACTTAGCATCTAAGTGACACTTAAGAAGGCATAACCGTTTGCACCGTTATTAAAGTTCCACTTATCAAGGCGTTAAGAATCACTTTACTAAGCCCAAAAATTTTTCAGCTTAAACCATTACTTAACCTTAAAATGTTTAATTTTTATAATGTTTAGTGATGTTGACTGTCATTGTGTCATTGATTTATTAACATTTGTAAAATTGCAATACACAAAATGGAAATAATGGAAGATGATGAGGCTTTGAAAATGCTTGATTTCATTAATATAAGATACTACGAAGAATATAACATAATATATACAAAAAACGATTACTTTTACACTGCGATTTGAATTGGCCGAAGAAAATTCTTAATTGCCTTGATGAAATTAAAGCAAATTTATAGTATCCTTATAATAAATATGTAGGTTTCAAACTCAAATATTTTTACAGACAACACAATTATAACCATTTTTATAAAAAGTGTTTTTTTTTGTGATTCTTTTTTGCAAAATTAGCATTGAATTAATACTAATTTTACTCTCATTATGGCTGTACTTCGTGCCCTATTTTATTACTTCTTAGTTCATCTATTTTTTTTAATTAGTCCTGTGACACAGGAGAGAGTTTTTTTTCTTCTGCGCCTGTGACAATCATAACTTTTGCTGCGTTCACTGAGACATAACAATCCCAACCGATACCAATCGCTTTCGTTTTACGATACGTATTGCTTTATATCAATCCGTATCATTTGGGAGCGTTTAATTTTTGCGCTAGTTTCTGCTTCTATCAAGAAAGATGAGCGGGAAACCTCTTAAAATTAACCTAAAACGCCTAAAACCAATCGCTATTTACGATTGCTAGAAGAACAACCTGGTTGTGCATTAATGTGATAATAATAAAAAAAATACTTAAATATTAAAATTATTGTAAATTGTTGATGAAAACTCCAAGTGGCAAATAAACAAATTCACTTTTAATTGCAAATACTACGTTTCATTAAATTAGAATTATCGTTCGACACAAATTTAGTTTTTGTAAATTGAGCGTACCGTTCAGTAAGCTGATCCCGCTACCCCAATCGCAGCAAGAATCCGATACACTCATTGAACGCAGCTTTCATTAAACATTCAAAATAAAATTCAAATTTGACATTAGTTCTTCTTTTTCTAGAAAAATCTTGACGTTGCCAAATCAATCCGACACTTAATTAATCGTTGCTTTCTAATAGGCTGGTGCGAATTAAACTACGATAAGTAATACTTAAATAATAAGTTTCACTTTACTAAGAGGACATTTATTCTGAAGCGGTGCGAATGGCCCTAAGTGATTTAATAAATTTTTGGTGTTTATCCCTACGAATTAAGCTTAACTTTAGCATCAGCGCTATCGAAATTTAAGTTTTAGTTAACCTTCCGTTAACTTATTTAGTTTTACTAGTGCTTTTTCCCCATTATGCAACAAACTAGAAAAGAGTTGAACGTAGTTATTCCGAGTGGAGATCTCGTTCCTCAGACCCAGAACGTCAGTGAATCCGCAGCTAAGAGCATCTAAAGCCTTACAGAGACAAGGCTCCTTTCTTTTACGGAAATCGAATACAAGAACAACTCGTTCGAACTCGTGAGCTGGCTCAATCACCTCCAGAACTTCCAGAACCTCGGCTTAGTCATTCGGTAACAAAAACCACCGAAACCGAGCCGAGCTTTCTTGTATTTATGATGTGTATAGGTTATCTAAATTGAAAAACTGTGTTGTTACTGGAAAACATTTATTTTATAAAAAATAAATATAACAATCAAAATAAAACATTTTTTTTAAATATCTTTTATTAACAAAGATGTACATTTTAAGCCACTCACTTAATAGAACATGTACGCAGTAATAAACGTGTAGATTATATATTCAGTTTCGTACATGTGTATGAACATTTTTTAACAAATGTCTTTAATTTATAATAAATTCAGTAAAACCCGTCCTTACTCATAGCATTCATATTCTAGTTAGTATGTGGCTCTATATTTTGAAGATATTTTATATTTTCGAGACTTATTTTACGCAGTACGACACCTCTGAAAATAAAAAAATATATATATATATATATTAGTAATTTGATTTCTATTTCACTTTTCTAAAGACTACTGTGGTGCTCGCGTCCTGTTTGACGAGCCCACAAAGAACTTAACAGATTTGTTTATGACATTTTAGTTGTTTTTTCATGTTTGACGTTTTATGTCATTATTTTTACTTTTTGGTTATATGCAATGTTTTGGAGCATTTGGAGTGACAACCATCTGGTCTCTTCTTTTTTAATAACGTCACCGTTGTTAATTAAGATATGTTTTCTTTTGTAAATCTTTACAGGATTTTCTGGATGAAAAGAAGACTCAAGTAGGCGGATTTGGAACGCAGTATAAAAGGACCGCCGTTGCTATGCTGCAGGGAGATCATTATAAACATTTCTATATATTTCGAAAGTGTCTATTCTTTTTATATATATGCATTAAATAAAATTTTTAAAAAATTATTTTTTTTTAGTTTTAAATTTAGTGGACCAACCAACGGGACCACTAAATATTAGATCACTTACATCATCTCGACATTTTATTTCAAAGATTAGAAAAATATGGCGTCAATGTCAAACCTTCAAAATGTATTTTTGGTGTCACTAAAGTTAATTTTTTGGGTCATATTATTACTCCAGATGGAATTCTGCCATCTGATGAACGAGTTAAAGTCATCTCAGATTACGAAATCCCCAAAACTTGCAAACAATTACAAAGGTTTGTCGGAATGATCAATTTTTATCACAAATTTGTACCTCAGTTCGCAGAAATCTTAAGCCCGTTACATGAATTTATTAATCATTTAAATCATAACAAAATTAAAAATATTGAATCCCGGCCAGAAAAATCCCAAGAATGTTTTAAAAAAGCAAAAGAATTGTTAATTAAAGCATCTCTACTTAATCACCCTAAGGAAGGGGCAAAATTGGTCGTCCTGACCACAGACGCTAGCTCAACAGCCATAGGTAGCACTTTAGAGCAAGTCGTCCAAAACGTTAGACAACCTTTAGCATATTTTTCTAAAAAATTAACCAAAAGCCAACAAAACTACAGTGTTTTTGACAAAGAACTTTTTGCTATCTACGAGTCAATTAAACATTTTCGTTACATGCTGGAATGCGCTGATTTCCAAGTGTTTACAGATCACAAACCTATAGAAAAGGCAATTTTCTTAAAATCCGAAAAATCACCACGTCAGTTTAGATATTTCGAATACATTTTACAGTTCACTATCAAAATTAAATATGTAGGCAGTGAGAACGTTGAAGTCGCAGATTTTTTGAGTCGGATCGAACACGATCAAATTGATAACATAAATTTCACCTAACAAGATATTTTTAATGAACAAAACTCCGACATAGAACTAACTAACTTATTACAAAAACAAAATCTCTCAAATCAAGAAAATAGTAAAGTATTCCTTAAACAAATTAACATTGAAACATACAATTTCAAAATTTGGTACGAAATTTCTACTAATAAACAAAGGATATATATTCCTCGAAGCTTACGTTACAGTGCTTTTCTTAAAGTACATAACGTAGCTCATTTAGGCCTTAAATCCACAGCTAAATCAGTTAAAAAAATATATTTTTGGCCCCACATGAATAAGAACATATGTCTTTGGACAAAATCATGCATTCAATGCCAAAAAGCAAAAGTTTTCAAGCACACCAAATCTACTTTAGGAGATTTTAACGTTCCAGAAGGCAGATTTCAACATATTCACATAGACCTAGTAGGCCCATTAAAGCCTTCTGGAGGGTGCACTTATGTACTCACGGTAATCGACAGAGTCACTAGGTGGATGGAAGTATACCCACTAAGAAATGTCGAATCCGAAAATATCATAAAAACTTTAATAAATCAATATATTCCACGTTTCGGAATACCATATAAAATTACACACGATCAAGGTGTTTAATTCGAATCAGGCATGTTCAAAGAATTTAGTAAAAGACTAGGTTTTCAGAGTTTACACACCACACCTTACCATCCGCAAGGAAACGGCATGATTGAAAGATTTCATCGAACTCTTAAATCAGCCCTTGTGGCAAAACTCACTTCAAATACTTGGAAAGATGAATTGCCTTTGATTCTCCTAGGTTTGCGATCTGCAATCAAAGAGGACTTACAATGTTCACCCTCGGAACTTGTTTATGGACAAACGCTACGTCTTCCTGGTGAATTCTTTAATAATTCTAAAGAAAACGTAGATACTTATCCCATGTTAATTAAACTTCGTGAAATTTTCAATAATATTAAACCATCTCAGGTACAAAGACATGGTACAACAAATACATTCGTTCACCCAGAATTAAAAAACACAAAATGTGTTTTTCTAAAAGTTCCAGGTATCAAACCAAGCCTTACAGCACCGTACGACGGCCCTTTTAAAGTTATTTCTAGGACTGATAAAGTTTTCAAAATCTTGAAAGGTAATCGTGAAGTGACTGTCAACATTGACATGACTAAACCAGCTTTCTTATTAAATGAGCAAATTGACAGCGCACAAGCGCCAACCAAAAAGACGAAAAAGGTCACTTTCTCTCTTAATAATTTAGTACAATATTAGTTATCAGTTTTTCAGTTTCAATTAATTTTTAATCATTTACTTGATTCAATTTCTTTTAAATAAAGGGGGAGTATTTGTGGTGCTCGCGTCCTGTTTGACGAGCCCACAAAGAACAACAGATTTGTTTATGACATTTTAGTTGTTTTTTCATGTTTGACGTTTTATGTCATTATTTTTACTTTTTGGTTATATGCAATGTTTTGGAGTGACAACCATCTGGTCTCTTCTTTTTTAATAACGTCACCGTTGTTAATTAAGATATGTGTTTTCTTTTGTAAACCTTTACAGGATTTTCTGGATGAAAAGAAGACTCAAGTAGGCAGATTTGGAACGCAGTATAAAAGGACCGCCGTTGCTATGCTGCAGGGAGATCATTATAAACATTTCATCGATCGGTTTAATTTTTATATATTTCGAAAGTGTCTATTCTTTTTATATATATGTAATAAATAAAATTTTTAAAAAATTATTTTTTTTAGTTTTAAATTTAGTGGACCAACCAACGGGACCACTAAAACTACTTTATAAAAACCAGTTGCGTTATACGAAAGCCACCTTTAAAGTTTTCACAAACGATCACTACAAGGCGTTATATAAATAATTATCCAAATTTAAAACAATTTATAACAAAATTCTTCTCATCAAATTTTAAACAACTTTTAAAAATGTCCGTCCATCCGTCCCTATGATGTCTGCAAGATAAGTCAAAAATGAAAAATGATAAAAACTTTAAATTTTACGGAGAAATCAAGCTCTATAAGGGGGCGAAGCCTATTGATTTTGAAAGAAAATCTGAGGAAAAATGGGGGATTAACGTGTTGAACTCTTACCGATATCAATTTGAAATTATAAAGAAAACCTAAACTATATTAGGGGACAAAGCCTTTGAATAAAAATGGGAGGTTAAGGAGGTTGGAATTTAAAAAATTCATAAATCAAAAACGAAAAGCGGTATCAACGTGAAATTTTTAGAAAAAATCAAATTCTATAAGAGCATAAAGCCTATTGATTCAAAAAAAGGATAAGGGGGGTTGAAATATAAAAAAAAAACAACCAAAATCAATATTTATTCTGAAAAAGGCTGATTAAAAATGGGGGTTAAGTGGGTATCTGTGAAGAGTTTATAATACAGAATGCCAAGTATTCTAGTTTGTTTTTGTTATAACAGTGATAACTCAGAAATCGGCCTAGTAGTTTGTAAGTAATCTTGTGAATAAATTGAGTTATATGAAGGTTTAAGTTAGGTTTAAAATGAGTGGGATGACATCATCGCCTTCCATTGCAGCCCCGATAGATACATTGTGGCTTATGTCTATAGTCTATTTTTATGTATGAGAGAGTATTAAAATAATAAAGCGTTCGTAATCCATAGGCGCACCACTTCTTTTAGTAGACAGTTAAAATATTTTTTGAAGTTATTCCTCGAGTATACACTTATATTTTTACCTAATTAACCTGCTTATAACTTTTAAACAGCTGAAGGAAAAAAAGTGCAATTTTTTCTAAAATGTTCTATTTTTCCACAAGGTATGTTAAGAACATTGTGTCAAACGGATTATGTAGGTATAAGGGTTTAAACTTTGACTTTTAAACAACGTTACGTTCATAAATAATAATTTTAATATAAAAACTACTTCTTACCTACAAATCCAAATCAGAATCGAAATCAGAAGATGATCTGTCGCAACCAATATTTAAAATGAGTGGCTCGATCATTTCATCAGTAATATTGTCCAACTTCCACATTTTCTCTTCTTCTTTAATCGTATGATTTACTGCCTTTTCCAAGTTTTCAGGCTTCACATTATTGTTCGAACCACTCTTTAAAGACATCAGCATTCATGTCCTCATGGTAGTCACCGGTACGAGTAGATTCAAAAGTCAATAAACCACCTTTAACAAAACCGTTTGAACTACCGATGTGTACTATTATTAGTCTGCGCCCCTTTCCTGATGGTGGATTTAAACCAGTAGATAAATTATTTAAAAAAGCCTGTCTTCGACTTGTTACAGTTTCATCTCGCCAAAATTTATTTGGTTTATGTCCCTCGTTGATCCATGTTTCATCTAAATAAAATATATTTCTTCTTTGGTTTCTCATTTCTTTTATAGTCCTTAGGTAATTTCTTCTCCATACTACAATATCGCTTCTTTCTATTAAAATAGACTTTCTGGAATGATTTTTCCATAGAAAACCTATTTCTTTTAAATGTTTCCATAGTGTGCTTCGACTCATTTCAGGGTAATCCTTATCATCTCGAACAGTGGCAAGAACTTTGTCTACTGTCGGAAATTCTTTTCTAAAGAAGAACGCATGCACTTTCCTTCGAAGTCTTTCTTTCAAAAGATTTTCTAATTGAAATTTTGGTTTTCCTGGAGCTTTACGTGCTGTTTGAAACTTGCCACATTTCTCTTCTTTAACAATTCTATAAATCCTAGATTTCCCAACACCAAGCGTACTACTAACTAATTTCACTGTGTCATCAACACTTTTACATAAATGTTTGTCTGTAAATGATTTAAAACAATTAAATATTATTGTTTTTTCATTAACTATTAAAGGACCGATTTTTTGTCGTTTACGCGGCCCTTCCAAATTTTCCATGATCACACTAGAATTCACACTTGCAAGTTGCAACTAAACGACATTTAGTAAACTGTCAAGAATACACAACTTGGACCTCCTTACTAAATGGAAAACCTATAATCGCATTTTCGGTGAAATTTGTTGGGAAGGTATTTATCTACTTATAATTCGATTACTGTAAGAAATTCTTGGAAGTAAAATAAAACAAAATTGGCAAATAGGTACTTACTGAAAATAATCTTAAGATACGGCTATGTAATCTTTAATACACAGGGCTTTTGGCCTGTTCAAACCTTTTTCTATTGTTCTGTACAGCTTATGTTTATAAAGGACCAATAAAAGACCCAAAACTTGTAATAGCTCAGGTACAATTATTACAATTTTAGGAAATATTTAGATTATTCTGTAAAAATATTTAAAATGACCGTATTAAATTTTGCATTAGAAATGCTGTTTTATTACTCTCTCATACATAAAAATAGACTATAACTTATGGTTCACTGTACAAGCCACACCTTTTGATGAAGTCCATGCTTGAATTTGTTTAGTAGGTTCCAATCTGGAACCAAGTTCCTTCTAAACCGGAACAGATACATAAAATATGCTCTACAGATTCATATTGCTTGCTGCAACATCGACAGTCCGATGTTTGCTGCAGACCTATAGTCTGGGAAATAGCACTTACGATAAAAAAATCATGTTTACCGTCTAACTTGTGGTATTTGAGCTCTATAGTAAGTTTGAAGATTTTTATTGCATACTATATGCGTAAGGGACAGGCCGTTTCGTAGCCAGGGGAGGGGGGAAAATCAAATAAAAAATTTCGTGTTAACCGCCTGGAGTTATTGGTAATCATTATTATATATATCTAAATAATAGATGAACTATCGTCGTCAGACAAATTCCATTGGCGGTTTGCGAACAAGGGAATTTTTTAAAAAATAAAAAAAACATTCTATGTTACCAATCCAAATTTTATTTAATAATTTGATCCCAAAATTTCGGAAGTGTGGTAAAAAATTTCAAAAATTGCCTAATGTAGATTAAAATTATTAAATTTTTCTGACCGCCTAATTTGGAGTCCACTTAGTCCCAAATAATGATAAAATATTGCCGTCAGACCAATTCAGTTTATTTAACCCCTTGATGCCCCTTCCAAGAGGTTAAAAATTAAAACACTGATTTTTGCGTGATAAAGATTCAAAAACGTTACAGAATATATTATATTTTATACAGGATGTCACAGCTAAAACTTGTCACCCCCCTAGTCTCCGAACTCGTGAAAAAAATTGAAAATCGCTCAGACCCGTCGATTTTTATTTCAAGGGGGAACACTTTCACCAAATACATCATCATTGTGTTGTCAACCTCCTCATCCCCAGCACCCCCTACTTCAAAATTTTCAATGGGACTACTTACTTGTGGTACATCGTTTTAAAGGGAATTTAATCCCAAATACATCGGTGTACTGAAATTGAGGATCAATCAAGTGTTGTTGAAGTTTTAATGAAAACTAAGTTTTATCAAGATATTTTTATTTTTCATCACCTAAAATGTTATCATCGTAAGTAGATTTACTGTGGGAACGCCACTGTATTGAAAATTAATATGCTTTCAGAAATAATAGATTAAAAGGTAAGACGTTTTTATGAAAAAAAAAAAATTATCGTCATGTGTTTTTGTATACGCATATCTTTGTTGAAGCCTTGGTATATTGATGTATTCGATTCACTTCATTCAACAATTTAAAAACCATCGAAATTGGTTTATACTACACAAGAGAGGATATCCATTGTAGCTGCGTATTTTGAAAATGGACGATGTGCTAGAGCTACGGCTCGAAGTTTCAATGAAATTCATCTAGAAAAAACCACATCATATCAGTACGTGATTCAATTGATGAATAAGTTCCTGGAGTCGGGATCAGTACTGAATAAAGAACATGAACGAGAGAAGCCTATGAGGCAGTTGTAGGACATGCAGTGATGGACAACATTCAATCTTTAAGACAACTTGAGACTATTTCTGGAGTTTCTGAAAGCAGCGTACATCGAATTCTAAAAGAATCAAAATTCCATCCTTATAAAATGCAGAATGTACAAGAATTAAATGAAGATGATCCTGACAGACGTACAGAGTTTTGAGAAATCATGAGTCAATTATTGATTGGTGATAATAATTACCTCTAAAATGTGTGCTTTTCTGACGAATATTCTTTTTATTTAAATGGAAATGTGAACAGGCACAACTGCAGATACTGGAGTGACGTAAATCCCCATTGGTACAGGGAAACTCATTCACAAATTCCCCAGAAATCGAATGTTTAGGCTGGTATTCTGGGAGATCATATTGTAGGTCCATATTTTATTGATGGTAACCTCAACGGACAAAAGTATCTTGATCTTCTTGATACAACTGTGAACCCCAGAATCACTGAATTACCTGAAAACGATGAAGGTCTACTTGAAGGTCAGCTCACCTTTCAACAAGATGGAGCTCCTTCACATTTTGTTGCACCTGTACGTCAATTTTTAGATGACAATTTCACAGGGAGATGGATTGGAAGGCGAGGACCAATAGAATGGCCGGCTAGATCTCCTGATTTATCACCATTAGACTTTTTTTTATGGTGTCATTTGAAATCCAAAGTTTATATTACACAGCCAAATTCTCTTGATGATCTACGCAGGAGAATTGTTGTAGAGTGTCGTGCAGTGACTCCAGAAATGTTGAGAAATGTGCGAAGACATTTCGAAAGTCGCTTATACTTCTGTATGGAACTGAATGGTTCACATTTTGAACCTTTCATATGATGAAAACATTTTAGGTGATGAAAAATAAAAATATCTTGATAAAACTTGACAACACTTGATTGATCCTCAATTTCTGTACACCGATGTATTTGGAATTAAATTCCCTTTAAAATGATGTATCACAAGTAAGTAGTCCCATTGAAAATTTTGAAGTAGGGGGTGCTGGGGATGAGGGGGTTGGCAACACAATGATGATGTATTTGGTGAAAGTGTTCCCCCTTGAAATAAAAATCGACGGGTCTGAGCGATTTTCAATTTTTTTCACGAGTTCGGAGATTAGGGGGGTGACACCCTGTATCTGATATTTATGCTTACCTACTACCCTCTCTAGAGTTCGAAAATGGGGTTAAAAATTGGTGACATTTTAAAATCATATGAGTTTTAGATATTCTACCTTAAATAGAAGACAGTATATTAGGGATTCTTAAAGAATTGTAATTTTGTCACTAGAGTAGATGAAGCTCGACAAGATAGATTCATACTGTATATTGATAAGACTTGGTACAACACTCAAGATATTGTGACAAAAGGATGGAGTGATCAATCTGCTAAATGTTCTGTGAATGCTCCTCCAAATAGAGGAAAACGTATTATAATATTACATTCCGGTAATGAAATCGGTTTTATGTCAAATTGCAAAGGATATTTTGAGTTGTTCAGCAGATTATCGCTAATATTGTGACATCTACCTTGTTCGAGAAATGGTTTGGTGAACAATTAATTCCTAATTGGCAACCAAATGCTGTTATAGTAATGGATAATGTCCCTTACCACTCTCAAATTCCAAAAGCGAAAGCTCAAAAAGAGGTAGTTTCCGCGTTTTTGGGCAAAATGGGTGTATCATATCCACCTACAGTTAAAAAAAAATGTTCTTGCAATATTGAAAAGCTTAAATCTCAAACCTAGCCATGTTGTAGATTAGATGGCTACGACATTCGTTCAGATCGTAATATATTTACTACCGTATTATCATACATTAAATGCCATAGAATTAATTTGGAGTAATATCAAAATGGAGGTAAAAAAATTAATCCTGCGTTGTCTGAAATCGTTTTAGATGTTATCAGAGAAGTTGTTGGTAGTTTGTTCATCTCAAGAATTATGCTCCAATTGCGTTCTCCATCTTACCAAAATTGAAAATAACCATCGAATATTTCCGGCTCATTCTTGTATTATAAACCTGATGACATGTTCAGTGAAGATGATAGTTTTGATATAACCATGTATCTGTTGGTTCACGTTATTTTGGAAAGGGATATGGTTTTGTTCCTATTTTCTTTTTCTAGGAATCTAACCTTGACGTATTGAGAAGGTTCTCTTATATCGGCAGGTGTAAGCTCATTTTTGCCGAACCCAAATCTTTTAATAAATGAGAATGTCAGGCAATCGTTGGGGATATGCTTGATGGTCTCATCTTCTAGGTTGGATGTCATAAAATAAATCCGTCAGCACGTCAAAATAACAACAGATAGTAATGTAGTGCAGAAGGCACTACAGCCTATCAATTCAAGAGGATATACAAAGTCTAAGTTCTATGTGAAAACCCACCCCTCCATCTTACAGATACAGATACACTAGATGAAATAAGTAACTTACCAGGAGTCATAGATTGAATCCAGCTCAAGTAGTATGTTACCCTAGTGGTTATTCCTGGTTTAAGGTTACAAGCATATCCATACGATATTACACCAAGGAACTGAAGTCTGTATGTTGAGGGATCCATCCATAAAGCAGGACCTTAACAAAACAAAAATGAATCGGTATCAGTTTTCAGTTACAAGATGATCTAGTATTTTTGCACACCTCCTGAATCTCCTTGACAAGCATCCTTTCCTTGAGTGTAAGTGCACATTTGGCCAGGAACGATTTGTTTATTATTATATGACTGTTGACATTGAGAATTGGATATCACATTAACATTATCTACTTTCTGCAATACGTTTGGTTTAGGACCGTTGTAGAATAACTGCCCCCAACCTAAAAATAAAAGTAATGTAACATGGTCGTAGAAAAAATGTTATTCCTGAAGAAAGTGAAGTTAAAAGTTGGATATTCACAAGTAATAATGACCAAGTTATATATAGCTACTTACCCAAGTAAGTTACTTTTTGACCAGCAAAAGAATTTCCTACATATCTAAATGGCAAACAAATTGGACCAACGTATAAGCTGAACGTTATTTTAGTAGTCGTTTTTATTATTGCTATGTCATTTGTCTGTTGATCATAATTAAAGTTTGGATGAGCAATTGCACTTTCGACTCTGTATAAATACGCAGCTGAAGTATCCGTCCCTAAAAGAAAAAAAACAACCTGTTATACATAATATTTCAAAAGTGCACCTACAAGTTTCTAGGCTATGGTAGATGGAAATAACTAATGAAAAAGTTATAGTAAACAAAAGTTGAGATATTTATGAGTTTAACAGCTTCAAATTCAAAATGTAGAAATATGTATAGATCCAATTAGACAAGGGTCGATAATTTTTGAAATAAAATAATAGTAAGATAAAACCCATTGGAAAAGGAAGAGAATATAACAAAAATAAAAGGAAAAATAATTTACGGGCGATCTGAGGTCGAGAAGTGGATAGGGGTGAGTTTTTAAGGGTAAAAAAGGGTTTATCTCGATTTCCAGAAAAACTACAAGTCCTATGGAAAAAAGTTAAACGGCAAGAAGGGGGGGGCTTAGGGTAAAATTGCCCTAAGTTTTTTTGTTGACAGTTTTTAACATTTTTGACTATAAAATTTGGAAAACCAATGTTTTTTCTGTAATAAAGCTACTTTTGTTGCATCTCGCTAGGACGCACCATTTTCAAGAAAAAAGCATTTGAAAATTTCATGATAAGTTATTCGAAAGTGTAAACAATAATTAGTAGGCCTGTGAAATCAGAAATTTTATTTTTTTTTTACTTTAGAAAACCGGCGACTAAAGAAATTTTAGAAAATATTTACAAAAATGTGTCATCAGGACTTCACTCGTAACACCCTGTATCTCGAAAACGAAACGTTTTCAGACCTATGTTTATATGAACTTTTATTCCTATTTTAGGATGTAGATTACGCTGTTAAAATATGACCGTCTAATTACGGGACACCCTGTATAATATTCATTCAATTTTAGTATAACTTTTTTAAAAGCTAGTTTCGAAACAAAGAAGAATGGACTTCATTTATCAGAAACTTTAAAACTAGTATATCAAGCAACTTTGTGCGCGTGTGTAAATACTGTAAATAAGTATAGTTTTATTTTTGTGATTTTTTTGGTATATGGACCTAAAGACTCTTTATGGTAATAACAAACTGCAAGGACTTTCAGCATTAATTACTGGGGGTAAGTTAATTTATAATTTTTAATTAATTTTCCAGAGTTCTTTGATAAGTTTTGAGTAATTTATTGGCAAAGTTTAAGATAAGACTAACCCTGACGGCATGTTTTTTGGCAAAAATTGTGTTAGAAACCCCATAAATGGTAGTCATATAATAAATGTTAGCGGTGTTCCTCTGTTTCCCACCCATACACATGCGTGTCAGGATGGACGAGCAGTGGCAGACCAGCCCAGTGAGCAGTACGCTAATAGACAGTGGCAATACCACAGCAACATTGTAATTGAGAATACTTGATCGTGAAATAAACCATTGAATAAGCAGTTTAGACATTTTTATTAGGGATGATACATCCCTTATGTTTATATCAGAAGTGGGATCACTACGTGTACCGTGGCTAATAGACTATAATTAGTAATTTAACTAAAAATTAGTGCTAGTGATAATGGCGGACGAAAATCCTGAACCTGAACAGTGCGTCAGCCAAACATAATGTCGGTCGATGTTAACGAAAATGTGAACGGACATAGTTTAAAGCGTGCTAAATTTCAGTGGCAGGAAACATTAATAAACTTTGTAACAGCCCAAGAGTAATAAATTGCTGATTTAACTCAACATTTCAAAATGGCTACGTAGCCGTTCGCTAAGCCAACGCCCAGTGTTGCACGAGCAGATTAATCTAAAACGCAAGCGCCAACATTCGCGCCTGTGCACCGATTTCGACTTACCAGCTATGACCCTGGCGACAGCGCATATTCCATAAAAGAATGATTTGAGTAACGCTACCAAAATAAAAAGCGAACTCATCGTTAGCGATAATTTCATGATCGTTAAATTGAGCAATGCACCTAAGAATCCCGGTTATTGTTGTGACTGTGGACTTCTTTCTCGAGCATGAAAAACTTTTGTGATGACCTAATTGTTGTATTTGCTGACAAGGAAACACCAGCTGCTCGTGAATACAAGGCGGCTGCACTTCAAAGCCGTGATTCTAACTCATTATGTGATTGTGAAAATCAAAAAGTGTGGATCATCACTAAATTTTATTTTAATAAATTTTAATAATGCTTTGCTGTGGCATTCAGTTCCGGTTTAGACAATTCAAAAGCCAATTTCCGAACGTGAGTGGTGAGCTCATAAAATTACTAAATAAATTTGATGCGGTCCGTGTTGACCTCGAGAATGACGAAAAATGCAGATATCATTAGAAACCCAAGAAGTCAGTTTAAAGATCGACGAGAAGCCGAACGTTTCAAGCCAAGCAAAATCTTAAATGTACGTTCCTTTAAATGAGACCACCAGAGACACCAACAAAATCTATGTCGGAGAATATAACAGGCGAGTACATTTAACGCAGTTGTTACTCATAAAAAAAATCCGACAGTATTGCTGCATTAATTGTAAAAAAAATGGGTCAAGCCGAATCGAATTGTTGGTATAAAGAAGGAAGTTTAAAAAAACATTTGTGTTAAAATAAATAACGCCATCTAAATTCGACACCGATAGCCGATAGCCATGCTATTTTACTTTAAGCAAGCTTAGTCATTAAAATACTTTATTAATAGTGATGCTGACATGTCAATAATTTAACAATCTGTAGTAAAAACATTAAAAGGAACTATTGGGCCAGCTGAATAAGATGCTTCTTGGACTTGTTTACAATATCGCTCTTTATGATTTGTTACTCATTTGCTATTACATTAGAGGTCGTTCCAAATATTATGATTCTAGAAGGTGTTGATATTGTTATTAGATGCAATGTCAGATGTTGACCTTGTTTAAGTGTCGAGAAAAATGCCGATGGGATTAAGTTACATCAAGACCTGCTCAACATTTCCAAAATGTTTACAATAAAAAATTGAATGATATGAAAATAATTGATGTCTGTCAAGTCAAGGTCAACGATTCAATGAAAAATGAAACTAGACGTCGGGACACATTATTTAAGGCATGCAATATTGTGGCAATTGAAGATTCACAGTTCGCAGGTAGAGGAAAGCTGAGGCATAAATGAAAAGGGCCTTTACACTGTTCGAGAGGAATTACCACATGAAATATATCAACTTCGTAAAAAAAACGAACAACTGTAGTCGCTCAAGATCAGTGGCCATGGTCGTCGCAGCAACTATAAAAAAAGGTGAGTGGAAATCCCACAATATTAAATTATAAAAATTGTTTTTGTTAACTTGAGGTGGCAATCCTACAAAATTTCCTGAATAAATTATGATAATAAAGTAACACCAGTGTTTGGTGTTGTAGCACTAGTGTATAGTGTTAGGATGGCAATCCCACCAACATTAATTTAAAGAGTAATTAATCGTTTAGCGTTTAAAAAGGACATTAGTGATAATATTCATAAGTCGTAACAGTAGTTCTGTTTTCGTATTTTGTAATTCCAGATATATGTGGCGCGAGGACGCACCAATTGCAGGATGGCCGTGTTAGCGGTGTTCCTCTGTTTCCCACCACACATTCTTGAAGTCCATACACATGCGTGTCAGGATGGACGAGCAGTGGCAGACCAACGCAGTGAGCAGTACGCTAATAGACAGTGGCAATACCACAGCAACATTGTAATTGAGAATACTTGATCGTGAAATAAACCATTGAATAAGCAGTTTAGACATTTTTATCAGATGTTTATATAAATATAAAAGTATCTGTCCTTCATTTATTTTTTTAATTAAAGTTTTATATCTATTTTGACAATACCGTGATAAATTTTTGCCCAAAGCCAGTTTTTTAAACGACTTTTGGGTAAAAATTTGGGCGTGGCACCCCAAAAAATTTTTCCGCCTCCGGTGGGGGGGCCTCCGACAATTTTTTAATATCTCTTATATAAATGATTTAATTAAAAATTTAAAATTTCACTAAATAAATTCCGGCGGGGTTTTCACATTTGTTAAAAATGTGGCGCTACCGTCTCTTATTATCACGAGCCGCCACTGCAAAGAAATTATCGAATAAAAATGTATTACAATTAATCAAATCTATTTATAAATGTAAAAATGATGATATTATTAAAAATATCAATTGACAAACACTAAATCATATTTCATATTGGCAAATCTTCTACTTACAGAAGATACAGCAGAACAACATTGTTACAGGGTAATTTTATATTTGGGGTATAAATATAATAAGAAAGAGATTTACAAAAATTCGCAAATTTTGTGGGCCTGTTCAGAAGTTGTACCGGTTCAGTAACTACGAATAATGATATGAGAACACTTTTAAAATGTAAATAGCATACCATTTGTGCACCTGACATAGCTCAGAATGAAGTGCAAGTTTGCATTTTTAATGCCAAAAAAGAGCACGCGAAGAATGTGGTCCTGTTACACAAATTTATGAAGAAGAAGAAGTAACGAAAAATGTGAAGAATAAAGGACTTGATTTTGTTACCACAGTGCCCATATTCAATTCTGTCAAGAAACAATTGTATTATGCTCGACAGAAAGCTTTAGGGATCGAAATACTACCAAAAACCCAAATGGAAATTACAATTCCTGAAAATTATAAAAAATTTCTATTTTTTGACTGCAAGAGTGAAGATAGAATTTTAATCTTTGCAACTGAGGCCGAACCATTACTAAGGCAAGGAAAAGTTTATTTCGGTGATGGGACATTTAAAAGTATTCCAACAACTTTATGTTATTCACATGGATACGGGAAGTACTGAGGAAAGAACTTGTGTTGTCCCAATTATATATGCCTTGTTACCGGATCAGAGCGAAAAGACATATACCAGACTTTTTACAATTTTAAAAGAAAAAGTGCCTGCTTTCAAACCAGTAGAGTTCCATCTGGACTTTGAAAAAGCTGCCATTAACGGAATTATAAAAATATTTCATGAAGTGAAAATAAAAGGTTGTAATTTTCACTTCAACCAAGCACTCTGGAGGAAAATTTAAGAGCTTGGACTTTCAGTAGAGTATAGAGAAAGGGAAGACGTAAGGCAGCATTTGAGAATGTGTGCTACTCCGGCACATTTACCTCCCCACCAAATTGACGAAGGTTGGTTAACAATTATGAAAAACTCTCTAAATATGGAAAAGATAATTAAATTTAACGATTACTTTGTTAAAGAGTGGTTAAACTCTTAAAGATATTGGGTGTGTTTCCGCAATCGCCATCGAACCACAAACGTCGCTGAAGCTTGGCATAGTAGACTGAACAAAAAATACAAAAAAGTCCATCCAAATATATTTGAGATAATTACCATCCTACATGACGACTCCATTCATTATAAGATAATTATTGAACAATATGAGCTAATGTTGACAACACCAAAAAGGCTCAAAAAATATTGTGATTTGGATGGGAGGATCGAGAACACTATCACCAAATATGTTGAGGAAACTATTGATTTGCCAGAAACGCTGCGACGATTGACATACTTTGTGAAATATTAATAAACTAACCACGACTAGTCAGCATGCTGCATAAAACTTTGTATATACGTATATATTTTTACAGACAAGCTCATATTTGAAGCGCAAACATTTTTAAACACGCCAATATACAGGGTGTTATTGAAATACACGTACATATTAAAATGGGGAATAGTATGTAATGACCAAAAACGATTGGCACCAATTTTAACTTCAAATTCTAAAATTTAAATATTGGGGAAGAGTCCCCTTTTCCGACCTACTAGTTTCCATATTTAAAGAAGTAAAACAAATCGAAATTGAACTTACCCATAGAAATTGCACTGTTGCCGTAGCAAAACCAATTAATTCAAAATAAAGTTTATTACAGTAATTGTTCAAAATGCCGTCCATTAATATTTACACACACTTGCAATCGTCTTTCCAAAGAACTTTGAACATTAGAAATTAGTCTTGGATTTTGTCGTAGTTCCTCGGCTACCGCATTAACTTTATTGGTTAATTGTTCAACACTATTAATAGGTTCATTATAAACCAGTTGTTTCATGTGACCCCACAAAAAGAAATCGCATGGATTTAAGTCCGGAGATCTCGGAGGCCACTTAGTAGGTCCATTTCTGCCTATCCACTTTTGAGGAAATCTAATGTTCAAAAACTGCCGTACGTTTAAATCAAAGTGAGGAGGAGCGCCATCTAGTAGGTACCACATCCGTTGCCTTAATTGTAACGGTATCTCTTCTAGGAGTACTGGCAAAATATCTTCTAAAAAGTGGAGATATCCTGGCCCATTTAATCTGTTCGGGAGAACATAAGGCCCGATTAAATACTGATCTATTATGCCAGCCCAAACATTTATTGAAAATTTTCTTTGATGCCCAGTTTCCCTAATGGCGTGAGGATTTTCATCACTCCAAATATGCGTATTGTGCATATTGAACACGCCATCACGAGTGAATCAAGCCTCGTCAGTATACAATAATATTTTTAGAAATTCAGGAATATCAACACATTTTTGAAACATCCATTCACAAAACTCCACTCTCTTTTCTTCATCACCTGGATATAAGGCCTGGACTTTTTGGATGTGATAAGGATGTAAACCTTGTTCTTTAAGTGTCCGCCACACAACAAATGAGGACACTCCAATTTCAAGACCTAGTCTTCTACAACTTAATTGAGGCCGGTTTTCAACAGCTTCCAATATTTCTTCTTCGGCCGCCAATGTTCTTTGTGTTCTTGTTCTCCCTCGATCTGCATTGACACTCTCAAATTTTCCATGGTCTCTTAGATGCTGAACAGTTGAAATAAACGTACGACAGTCCGGAATTCTCCGATTTGGAAACCGTTCGCGATACAGGATTTGTGCTTGCCGAGAATTTTCTCCAGCTGCCCCATAAACCAGCACTATATCCGTTAGTTCAATATTCGTAAATAGTAGCATCGTATAAAAATATTGGAAATGACGCGCTCGTGTTAGCCAGATTCGTAAATCAACTAAAATTTTAATAATCTATAGTTTCAAAAATGTATAGTTTAAAAACAATCATTTATCAAATATTCTAGTTTTTTGATAACGAGGGTAGTAAAAACCAGTCTTCGGAAATAGAAATTAATTCGAAAATCTTGGCAACATGGTTATTTCTTACAAGACTAGTTTTCTTATCATCTGACAAAAACTTGCATATTAATTACTGTTGATGTTTAAAATAGGTAAATGAACCTAATTTATATAGGTCATCCTCAACATATCAGTGAAGTACGTTTGTTTTAGAATTAATTTTCAAAAATTAATAACTCCCTTAATAAGGGGTATTTTAAAAAAATAATATTTTTCTACATTCAGTGGGGATCTGCGCAATACCCAGTTTTAATATGTACGTGTATTTCAATAACACCCTGTATAAAATGTATGCATTACATAGCAGGCTAAGACATTTTAATTTATAAATTGCCAGTCCTAAGCCTGGATAAAGTTTGAAGGAAAATTTATATTCTTTTTACCTACCTACCTACCTGACATCACCGGACAAAAGGAGAATATTTAAGCACCCTTGATAATCTTAATTTACCGACCGGACGAAAGGAGAATTGTTCGTGCAACGGACGAAACGGGAACGGGCGAAATGAACCAACGCCATATTATCAGCTTCAAACTTGGCTGGGTAATGAACTAATAGCATCAAATTGGGACTGGAAGCAACATCAACTCAAATTAGCAGAAAATGAATTAATTCTGGAAATATTCCTCAAAACTATTTGCTGCAGCTGTTAAACTGGATGTAACAGTTTAAAATATGGCTGCCGAAAATATGGTTTAAAATGCACAAATTTATGCTCAAATTTTCATGGTTCTGAAAAATGCTCCAATGTGGAAGAAAAAATAAATACTATTAATAATAGAAAAAACCTTACCTGTAGTAATATCAGAATCTCCTACTAAAACACCCATATTTGCTGTTGGTATTAGCGGCAGACAATGGGCTGCACTTACTACATATCGATCGTGTATTATAGTTGCTCCACAAATTACTTCTGCTCCAACTGCGTAATCAATCAGACCTGCCATCGATGGATATTCGTTGACACCACTGTCAATACCACCGACTATCCTCGTCTACAGAAAAAAAAATGGGTACTGGAATAAGCTATTCTAATTTTTAAATGAGCCATTGTAATTTTTAAAGTTTTGTTCCAACATAAACCAAATCAGTTTACGTACTGTCCGGATTCTGCGCAATTCGTGTTCCAACAAACTTCAGACTCAAAACTGTACGAAAACCCAGTGTTCCAACACAACCAAAATTAATCACAAACCGATTTGTGTACTGTTAAATCAGTTCGTGGATCTGAATAGGAATGAATTGTCAAGACATGCGCAAATACGCAATAACGTGAACATTTCGTGATTGTAATAATTATATTATTTGTATCCATCGTCTCTGACAGTTCTCATATGTATTTTTTGTCAATTGAGTTTTTTCTTCATAGACAAAAATCTACCATATCCAACCTGACTTTTATTAACCAGTATATCAGTGGAAAGTTAGATCAACAAAGTCAAGTAGATGTTATATTCACTGATTTTAGTAAAACCTTTGATAAGCTCAATCACTGTTTACTAGTCAATAAACTTATCTTTTATGGGTTCTCCCCAAATTTAATTTATTTCTTTCTTTCAGTCATATCAAAATGAAAGATGTTTAATATAAAGGTTTCAAATCAGCTCTATTTGTACAAAAGTCCGGTGTACCCCAAGGTTCAATATTAGGACCACTTCTCTTTAACATTTTCATTAATGATATAATATCAGATAATTCTCAGTACCTACTATATGCCGATGATCTAAAAATATATGCGAAGATACGTTTAATTGATGATTGCAGAGAACTCCAGAAATCTTTAGAAAGAGGTAATGAGTGGTGTGAATCAAATACTTTGCCTTTGAATCCATCTAAGTGTAATACTATGACATTTAGCCGAAAAGTAAGCCCAATAGTATTCGACTACAGTTTAGATGGTACCCTAATTAATAGAAATGATTCTATTAATGATCTTGGTGTGATACTTGACTCAAAATTAATGTTTTCCAAACATGTAGACAAAATTATATCGACTGGTAGCAAAATGTTTGGTTTTGGGCAGACACGAATTGAGAACCAAAATGAAAATATTAAGAAGGGTTTATTTTTGTACCTGAAAATATGACACGAATTGAGGACCAGGCTTCTGAGAAATAATTATAGTAAGTGCACCGAATTGCGGATTAGGGATTAAGGTTGTAATGATGATTCATTGCGTTAACGAGCATTTTATTACTTTACTTTCGAAATTCTAATATATATTTGAAGTGAGTGTTTTGTGTTTAGTTTATTTCGAGCAGTCTTGTAAAAATGAGTGAAATTAAAATGATCTTAAGTGAAAAGGGAAAGTCGTTACTTGTGTGGGATGATTATAAGTTTCGTGAAAAAAAGGTTCTTAAAAGTGGTGAAAAGTTTTGGACTTGTACTGTAAGTAAATGTAACGCAAAAGTATTTACGCTAGGTTCAGATAATATAATTTCTCGAAAAGAAACAGTGCACAATCATGAAAATGACATAAAGAAATTAAATAGACAAATTTTGAGTGTAGCAAGCAAACGGGAAGCTGTAGAAGATATCACAGAACGGCCATCGAAAATCATACACTCTGTTTTAAGGGAAAACAGTGATACAATGGACGCTTTGACAAGAAAAGACATTACATACATAAGAAATAATATGTATTACAAAAGACGTCAAGTCCAAGCACGTTTACCAAGCAATGTATCAGATGTTTTCGATATTTTACCAACATTAAATTTGACAACAATTAAAAATGAACCATTTCTCTTGGCCACTGATAATATTAACAATATTGTAGTATTTTCGTGCTATACTAATTTAAAATTTTTGTGTAGTAGTGACAAAGTGTATCTTGATGGAACATTTCGATATTGTACGAAACATTTTTTACAGTTGTTCACACTTCATATCGTAGAAAACGGCCATTATATACCAGTAGCTTTTTGTTTATTACCGAATAAACTTCGTTTAACATACGAAAGACTTTTCGTTATTCTTAAAGAAAAGTGTTGTAATGCAATTTCTGCGCAATGGCCCACCACAAAGATCATTGGATGTAGGTTTCATCTTGGCCAAGCTTGGTACAGAAAAATACAGAGTTTGGGATTGGCTAAAGAATACCAAGATGAAAAAAGTGCAACTGGAAAATGGATGAGGTATCTTTTTGGATTGTCTTTTTTAAAACCCGAAGAAGTTGGAGAATGTTTTGCTTTGGATTTGGCTGAATTTCAGCCCGATCATATGCATAAAGCTGTGGTAAATTTAGCTGACTATTTAGTAAAGAATTATATTGAAGAAAATTCTTTATTTCCACCAACAATTTGGGCTGAAGCTGTTGTAACTACAGAAAATTCTACCAATGCATGCGAGTCCTTTCATTCTAGATTTAATTCAAATTTCTATTCAATGCACCCTTCATTGTATTTATTTGTAAATGTTTTGAACAATTTTCAAACAGATACTTATATTCGTATTAACAGCCTTAAGGAGTCTGTTAAATGTAACAACAAAATTGTTAGACGAGGATTAAATATGTTAACTTCAAAAATGTTAGAATATAAAAATGGTTCTATAAAAAGAATAGATTTTGTAAAATTCGCATCAAATTATCATAAAGTGTATTAAATGTAAATAATATGTATATGTTTAAAAAATTAATTATAAATTGTAAATTGTGCAATAAATATCTATTTTTATCTGAATTCGTACTTTTCTTCAAATTTTGCAAATCCATCAGAAGACAAATAATAATATTATAAATGGGTATAGTGATAAGATACTTCAATTATTGAGAAGTTTGTTCCTCAATTCGTGTCATATTTCCAGGTACAAAAATCTCTCTCAGTAATCTAGTTAACGCAATGAACCCTCATTACCACCTTAATCCCTAATCCTTAGTACGGTCCGCAATTCGGTGCACTTATTTGGTCTGTGCAGGTAGTGGTCCTCAATTCGAGAACACCGTTGGTTTTGCTATAAGAAATGGCCAAGAGTTCAATAGCTTAGAAACTTTAAAACTTTTTTACCTTTGTTTTGTAAGATCTAGATTGGAATATACCAGTGGAGTTGGAACCCTATGTATAATATTTATATTAATAACCTTAAAAAATTCAGAGACGGTTCATGAAGTCGACCTCGTACATTTTGGATGGTCAATATCCTCCTAGTGGTTTTTCACATAGCGATTTGCTATCAAGATTTAATTTAACGGAACTAAAATATCGCAGGGCATCACATCAATTGCTCTTCGTATATAATCTTTTACCTAATAAAGTGGACTGCATTGAAGCTAATGAAATATGTGTCACTTAAAGTTCCTAGACCAGGGCTACGAATTTGTGTAAGTTTTCAACTAATAATTGCTAGGACCAATACTCTATCTTCTTCGCCAATACATCAAATGGTCAAAGTTTATCACGATCTGAAGGATCGCCTAGATATATTTTGTATTAGCCCAAAAAAAAATAAAATCAATTCTTAATCTTGATGAAAATTAGTATTATACAATAATTAATATTTTATTTTTCCATTTTTTATAACTGTTTTATAGAACTTGTAGTCCAATGTGTCAAAACCTACTTATTTTAATGTTTAAATTGTAGAATTTTAAAGCATTTTTACAGACATAGGGGTCTATTCTGTAATAATTCCTTTATATTTAACGGTCTTTAAAAATATTGGCGACCTTTAAAAATATGTTTTTATTCGTTAATTTACTTCTGTCATTATTTAAACAGATTTCTTTAAGATAGTCCTTTAATGTATTTTAAAGATCCGTTTAAATAATGACAGAAGTAAAGAAGAAAATATTTTTAAAGGCCTTTAAATATAAAGGAATTGTTACAGAATAGACCCCATACACTTTTATTTTGTCTTTTGATTTTTGTACATTTTCTCGTCACCCTATAATTGGCATAAGCTGTTTTGGTCATTATAAATAAATAAAAAGATACTTACTGGTCGTTTATATCCACAGTCACATTGTGGTGCCGTTGATACTGCTGTTAAAATACAGTCTAACTGACCCCCAACTGAATTAGAAGTAGCTAACAATCCTAGAAATAAAAAATAACTAATTAAAGCAATAAACCAAGTAATTCTCATCCAAGGTAACAAAAGTCTCTCTTTTCTCCCAAGTAATATAATAAATAACTATTTATTATAATATAATATAATTAGTATATTATGCAACGATCATGTAATGATGGTTATTAATACACGAGCATTAACCGGGATACGAAACGAGCCAAAGGTGAGTTTCGTATGGTTTATGCGAGTGTTCTAATAACCATTACATGAGAGTTGCATACGCTATTTTTTCTACATCCGATAAATAATGAAGACCCATAAATATTACATTTATATTGGTATTGAACACAATAACAGTAATTACTCGTATTTCTATAAAAAATTCTACAAAATTGTAATTAATGGTATTACTTCGGGTATTGGCATTTCTCCAGATTTTTGCGGCAAAATATTTTTTACTATATTTTCTGCTTTCTCCGATATGTGTGGAGGAGTTTTCTATATCGCTGATATCGGACATTTTAATATTATAATTATCGAAGTTTAGCTATCTACGAAAATTTAATACATTTTGACAACTAAAACAATTACATAGGAACCTAAGACAAACGTCAAACAGCATGCTTGATTGAAAAATTGTAGGTTTCTATTGATTAAAAATCTGTATCGTAATGAAAAATCTGTATCATAATGGGTATCATTATGAAACAGATTATGGGCATATAAGTGCATTATTATAATACGGGTGTAGAAAAATAACTATTTATTATTATTGATGTTTACAGTAGTCACTTGCTTGTCTTTATTATGAAACTAGTTTGATTTTATATACGAGTACATCATAATAAAACGAATGCATTTAATGTAACCCAATGCCTATAAGGCAAGACAACCCGTTGTCTACTATGTTTTTTAACCTGGTATTATAAAAAAAAGCGCATGTAGATGATGTGGATCTAATAACAAGGAATAAAAAAGAACTAAAGAGAGAGCAAGAACAACAAATGGAAGTAACATGAAATATGAGTTTGAATATAAACGAATTCAAAAGTCAGTACATGCAGCGAGTCTCAGGAATAAACAAAAATGGATTAACCAGAAACGTTGAAACTAGAAATGCAAAATAGCACATCCAAAAGATACAGATAACTTACATGTATGTAACGAAGAGGTAGAGATCTATTTAAGACTAGTTGACGGCAATATATGTGCTGGAGGGTTATATCAAATACTAAAATCAAAACGATAACAAAAAAGGGATATACAAAACAGTAGATTGGTTTAGATTTGAAAAGAGTTGAAAATGATTTGTCCTTGTCCACTGAGACCTTTTCAGATCTATTATGAGACTCCGTTATTTAGAGTATTTTGTCTAGCTTGGTCTTTTTTATTTAGTTCCATGTGTCTGACTTTTCTTCGCCTAGTGTTAGAAACCACACACTGTCACAGGACGTAGATTGATGTTTTTCTTCTTCTTCACAAAACCTGCTTCTTCTGTTAGATTGATGACACTCATGTGCCTTCTTAGGTTAGATTACAAAATACTAATAAAACCAACAAGACCTGGGCTTTGAATAAGATGCAATAAAGTAAGCTAGGTTTCTGAGAAATAAAAATACTCAGAAGAATCTATGGAGGAAAAATAGGTGAAGGTTGAATGAGAGGTACGTGTACAAATACCTTCATTTATGCTTTTTATAATGAACCAACAATAGACGTAATATGATTGAATATGTTACAGTAGTTGGGCTACTTGGAACGAATGGAAGAGATGAGCTATGATAAATACATCACGTGAAATATATCGAAAGGGAAAAAGAAGAAGAGGGAGAGGCCGAAAAGAAAATGGAAGAAAGCAGTATTGCAAGATGATGTTTAAAAACAAATAAAGGACTGAACAAATCTAGCTATAGGCCTGATGATTTTTTTAATCAACATAATAAAAATTATGACGTATAAGGTTAATAAATGTGAATTACCAAAAATATATAAATATTTTAAAATATATTAACGACATATAAATAATTTTAACGTATCAATAATCACATAATAATAAATAAACATAATTTATACGTACGCAAAGTCAAGATAACTAGAAATAATAGAAAACATATAAGTAAATGAAAATATTAGATATTATACAGGGTGTCTGTAAAAGGTCTTTACAGAAACATACCACATATTCCTTAGACCAAAATAAGTCGATTTAAGTAAAATTACCTTGGTACAAAGTTGCTTCGTTTGGGCTCCAGAGGGCCTTGAAGTTACAATTTTTAAATCGTTTTTCCCATATAAATTTAAAACGGCATATGCGATTTTGCTGAAATTTGGTATATTGGTAGAGTTTTATGTGGCAAAAAAAAATGGTATAAAAATTTTGTCCGATAATAGTACATAGGCGTAGAACTTGATTTTTTAAATAATTGCACCTGTAAAAATTCTACGCCAATGGAAGAAAAGGAGTTTTAGTATAAAATTTAGATTGCGCAACTCATTTACTTTAAAAAAGTTACTCTTGATAAGACTCGATTACTCTCATGGTTTTGACGAAATTTGTATTTTAGTAATTTTAGAACATAAACAATAATTATTAAAATACAAACTTTGTCAAAACCATAAGAGTAAATCGAGTGTTATCAAGGGTACTTTTTTGTAGTAAATGAGTACCCAATTCAAATTTCATACTCAAACCCCTTTTTTGCCATTGGCGTAGATTTTTTTAAAGGTGCAATTATTTAAAAAATCAAGTTCTACGCCTATGTATTACTATCGGACAAAATTTTATACGATGAAAAACATAAAAATGTACTTTTTTCATATTTTCTTCAACACCTCTAATCGAGACTTTTAACAAAAATATTCGACCTGTAGAAAATGAGGAACAACTCTGGCAACGTATTCAAGATGCAATAAATAATCTTAGAAGTGATGAAGTTATGGAAAGGATACATTTTAATTTTCTTCGTCGTATAAATCTTTGTATGCTTGAAAATGGTAAACATTTTGAACAATTTTTGTAAAATCTCTATTTTGATTATGTTGTAAATAAATATTTTTGTGAAACCTACACACTATAAATTATTAAAACAGAAATTTAGCGAGTATCAAGAGTACCTTTTTTAAAGTAAATGAGTTGCGCAATCTAAATTTCATACTCAAACCCCTTTTTTGCCATTGGCGTAGAATTTTTAAAGGTGCAATTATTTAAAAAATCAAGTTCTACGCCTATGTATTATTATCGGACAAAATTTTATACGATGAAAAACATAAAAATGTACTTTTTTCATATTTTCTTCAACACCTCTAATCGAAACTTTTAACAAAAATACTCGATTCTTGCCATGTACGATTTTTTGAGGAATATTAATTACTTGCCTGCAATACGTATACAAAAACATTTATTGTTGGTTTCCATAGTTCCATCTAAATAAAAATATTGTCAAGTTTTAACACCTAATCTCTTGTTAACGATTGAAAGTGTTCTATCTGACTCAATAATTAAAAAAACAAATGCGTGGTTTATTAATATGGCTGTACAATATACCAACGCAGAATATACCGATATGTTACTGACATTAGGATTTTGCGAAGGAAATGCTCGAGAGAGTGTCAGGGTGTACTCTGAGAGGTTTCCAAATCGTCGTGTAACTAGCCACCCAACTTTTGCTGCTGTTGAGAGACGTCTTCGGGAGAGCGGTTCCTTTGCTCCCAACACTGTTGATAATGGAAGAGAATGTTTTGTAAGGATTCCTGAAGTTGAAGAAGACATTTTAGAACGTGTTGAAGAAGATCCAGAATTAAGCACCAGACGAATTGGAAGGAAACTAGGAGTAAGTAAAGATGTCGTTTATAAAGTGCTTAGAGAACAATTGCTATATCCATACCATAAGAAGCCAGTACAAGAATTATTAGTCCATGATCCTCAAATTCGTTTGGGTTTTTGTCGATTTGTTAATATGCAAAGAGAAAGAGATCCAAACTTTGTCAAGAAGGTTCTCTTTACCGATGAAGCGGGTTTTAGAAGAAGAGGTATAACTAATACTCATAATGAACATGTTTATGCCGTTGAAAATCCGCATACAATAAAGGTAAACCATTTTCAGCACGAATTCAAAATTAATGTGTGGGCTGGAATAATTGGTAATTTCATTGTTGGTCCTGTCATACTTCCACGAAGATTAACTGGAGAAAATTATTTGGATTTTCTACAAAATACGTTGCCAGAATTAATAGAAGATTTACCTCTCCAACTTCGGAGAGATATGTGGTTTATGCAAGATGGAGCTCTACCACATTTTTCTTTAAACGTTAGAAACCACTTAAATGAACAATATCCACACAAATGGATAGGCAGACGTAATGACGCACCTGTAAACTGGCCACCACGTTCCCTAGACCTAACACCGATGGATTACTTTTTATGGGGACATCTGAAATCCACAGTTTACAGGGAACCTGTAGACAATGAGGAACAACTCTGGCAACGTATTCAAGATGCAATAAACAATCTTAGAAGTGATGAAGAAGTTATGGAAAGGATACATTTTAATTTTCTTCGACGTATAAATCTTTGTATGCTTGAAAATGGTAAACATTTTGAACAATTTTTGTAAAATCTCTATTTTGATTATGTTGTAAATAAATATTTTTGTGAAACCTATACACTATAAATTATTAAAACAGAAATTTAGCGAAAACCATGAGAGTAATCGAGTCTTATCAAGAGTACCTTTTTTAAAGTAAATGAGTTGCGCAATCCAAATTTCATACTCAAACTCCTTTTCTTCCATTGACGTAGAATTTTTAAAGGTGCAATTATTTAAAAAATCAAGTTCTACGCCTGTGTATTATTATCGGACAAAATTTTAATATCATTTTTTTTGCCACATAACACTCTAGCAATATACCAAATTTCAGCAAAATCGCATATGCCGTTTTAAATTTATATGGGAAAAACGATTTAAAAATTGTAACTTGAAGGCCCTCTGGAGCCCAAACGAAGCAACTTTGTACAAAGGTAATTTTACTTAAATCGACTTATTTTGGTCTAAGGAATATGTGGTATGTTTTTGTAAAGACCTTTTACAGACACCCTGTGTATTTTATTCAATAGATATCTACAAAACGACTCTGGCTTCCTCATTAGAAGTAATTTCAACAATATCTGTGATGTAGGTATATTAATTTTATGTGGTAAACAATAAACGATTTTTTATTATTATTATTATTATTATTATTACTAAAAAAAAATTATTGTAGATTCTCCATTTGTTACTAAAAAAAGCTCTCGCTTTTATGTTATCCATTCACTTTTCAATTATAACTTACAATTACTTTTTACTAAGAAATAGGATTTTATGGCTTTAAAAGTACACATTATATTTTAAGTAATTATTATTAATTACTTTTGTTATTTGTATCATTATTCTTGTATATACCTAGTAATTGCAGTTTTGTTTACAATGCATAGGTTTAGTGTGTAGTATTTAAGTTAATATTTTTAGTTAATCGCTAAGCTAACCGAGACCTTGAATGTCTGATAATGTAGCCTACATTCAAGAAATTTAAGGTGCTCAAAGCAAAATTTAAAAAAAAACGTGCCGTCACATCATTACGGTGTAAATTAAAGGAATACATTCATTTTTGTAATGAATATATTGCTTTAATTTGCACAGTATTATATATTATCATTCAATATTAAAAGTGATAAATGATAAACATTCAAATGAAAATAGAATAACTGCAACTGCCAAATTTTAATGTAAAAGTATTTTGAATTTATATCTAACAAAAATTATTATAAACCTGTTTGGAATCGGTGTATAATAACCTTAGATAAAAGAGACCAGAGATATAACATACACCGGTGTTTAACCTGCGCAAATGTTGCCAATTTCTAAAGGAAGGTTTACGGAGTGGGGGAACTGGGCGGCGACACGCGGCGACCCGAACTCTGTGGCAGGGACCGGACTTTGTTTATTAGCATCATAATGAACTATTAGATTTATTTAAAAGGTGTTTAATCGAATTTTGTATCAATGAAATAAAATTAACGTGATTTTTTAATATCAAACAGATGCCACGACATTTTATGTAAAGAGAAGACCTTTTATAGAATATTTCGTTAGCGTTTATTTACTACGGACTTTTCTGCAAGAGATTACAGTAAAATGTTAAAATAGAATATATTGTTAATAGAGCAAAAAATGTTACTCATTGTCTACAAGTATTACAAGAATAGCATGTGCGCAGGCGAATACTACAAATCTAACCTTATGAGTTGAACATTATATGTTTTCTACGGCTATTACATAATAATAAAAATTAGTCAAAATGAGAAAATGCTGTTTTGTATTATAACCTCAGAAAAAGGTATATTAAGGCTTCTTTCATTAGGAATATTAATTAATATAAAGGATGAGTCACATAAAACTTTAGAAATGCATATGTCTGAAACCAGATAACATTTTAAAATTTAAATCTATTAAAAGTCATTTGGTCGCTAGGGATGAGTAATTATCGAAATAAATTATCGATCATTGAAAATAATCGATTATTTTCGATCAATCGATTATTTTCAAACAATATATTTTTTTGTCATTTCCTTTAAAATCGACTACTTGATTATCTTTGAAAAATCAAAAATAATCGATTAATTAAAAAGCCAATTAACCGATAAATAAGTGTTTACAAAATATAATAAAAAAAGAATTATCGTTTATTTTAAATAATCGTTTATTTTAAATAATCGATTATTTTCAAATAAACCATTTTTTTCGTCCGTGGAAACAGATTATTCGATAATCTTTAAAAAATCGAAAATAATCGATTAATCAAAAATATTCGTTTAATTAAAAAGTCGATTAACTGATAAATCCATTTTCAAAAAAAAAGAGAGAATTATCGAATATTTTAAATAATCGATTATTTTTCATCGATCGATTATTATCAATAATCTATTTTATTGCATATCCTTTAAAATCGATAATTCGATTATCTTTGAAATACCGAAAATATTCGATAATTCCAAAATAATCGCCTAATCGAAAATAACCAATTAATTAAGAAGCCGATTCTATGATAAATCGATTATTATCAATAATCTATTTTATTGTATTTCCTTTAAAATCGATAATTCGATTATCTTTGAAATACCGAAAATAATCGATAATTCCAAAATAATCGCCTAATCGAAAATAACCAATTAATTAAGAAGCCAATTCTATGATAAATCGATTTTAATCAATAATCTATTTTATTGTATATCCTTTAAAATCGATAAATCGATTATCTTTGAAATACCGAAAATAATCGATAATTCCAAAATAATCGCCTAATCGAAAATAACCAAGTAATTAAGAAGCCGATTCTATGATAAATCGATTATTATCAATAATCTATTTTATTGTATTTTCTTTAAAATCGATAATTTGATTATCTTTGAAATACCGAAAATAATCGATAATTCCAAAATAATCGCCTAATCGCAAATAACCAATTAATTAAGAAGCCGATTCTATGATAAATCGATTTTCCAAAAAATAAAACGAATTATCGATTATTTTCTAATAATCCTTTTTTTAATATTTCCTTTAAAATTGATTATTCAATTATCGAAAATAATCGATTATTAAAAAGCTGATTAACCAATAAATCGATAATTTTAAAAAATAACCAAAATATCGGTTATATAAAATAACCGATTATATTCAATCGATTATTTTCATATAATCAAATAATGAAAAAACCGATTAAACGAAAATGATTATTTTGAATAAATTACTTTTTCTTGCATTTCTTTTAAAATCGATTAATACATTATTTTAAGAAAACAAAAATAATTTATTAAAAACAGCGGATAAATCGATTTTCATAAAAAAATATCAGAATTATCGATAAATCGATTATTTTTGTAACCCCTATCGGTCGCTTGCCTTTATCCGAGCATTTAGCTCCAAAATTTAGAGATTCGATTTTTTTGGTCCCGTTATCTTTGAAACCGCATTCGATTGTATAATAAATAATAAATATTGCTAAATTTTGGATTTTTTTAGTAAACGAAAATTTTGTTCGAGTTGTTTAGGGGTTTGTAATGTAACATTTTATTAATGTGACCAACTCCCGTAACTTTAGTATTTTTTTTTCTTATACTAGATCATATGGTGCGTTTTATTTTGTTTTAAGACTGAAGATTCAAATGTCACTTTTCGATTTAACCGCAAATAAGATGAACCTTGAAATTTTAAGTAGGTCATCCTGTATTTAATCTAATATTCTTATAAAAATACCTTATAAAAATAATATTTAGCTAGCAACTATGATTCTTTACTTCTTATTTATCTACCAAAAAGGGCTAAAAACCACCTTTAGAAAACATTCTTATAAAACTACTTTTTAAATACAAAATTTCGTTAGCAACAATGCCTATTTACTTTTTATTTAAATTAAATGTTCAAAATTTTACCTTTTTGTAAATTTATGTAAGTAATATGAAATCTGATTTCTGATGCTTAATATTTATTGAAACCCCTTAATGCGGATCTGAAGTATTCAGCCCAGAGAATCATGGCGCTTTATGTCAAAACGTTAATAAATATTTACCACTGAAAACGAATATATTCATAACATTAGTACTTGTATTATAAGTACATACAATTTTTCAAGATACATCGTGGTATTTTGAACTTGAAATTGAATAACTAGAACACTTTAAATTGCTAAAATACCAACAAATAAATCAAAAAACAGCTGTCAATGGTGATTAAACTCAGGTGAAGGTGATCGATGAATGGAAAAATCGGAGCAATTCGGGTGGCGTCGTGCAAACAATGATTTTCAATTGGTGGGTTACTTTGGGTTAAAATAGACAACATGCGCAGTGTGCAATGTTACATCTTCGGTCTCTTTAATCTAAGATAATAACCTACGTTTATACAGACCAACCCTGAATCAAATCAGGAGCCTATGAAAAATAGATCTAGGGAATCGTATCTAAAATTTAGGTTGTATTTCATATTTTTGCAGAAAAATGATTTATATATTTAAAAAATTACTTACCTATAGCTAGTCTGTTGGATGTGCTAGTAAGACTTAATGTTCCAGATCCACAGTAAACCTTCTCATCTATGAAATTAGAATCTCCACTTAACGATACTCGTAAACGATCACCACTACAACTTGGAGACTAAAATAAAATTTAATTATTTAAGAAGTATAAGATTTTAGTTGCAGGTATGATATGCTACTGCTACATTTCTTGTATATTTCTGATATAAGTTGTTGCATGCCAGGTTTACAGTTTCTTTAATAATTGGAAGACTTAATTCGCACCCACTTTCACTGCTGCTACTAATTTTTAATTAGTTTCTATGTAATTAATTAAATTAAAATAACAGCTATTTTCTAGATACCTACATGGTCAATGTTTGACATTGTATTAGACATAAAAATAATAGGTAATGAATAATTGCGTTATCAGGTTAGGAAATAATACAAATGTATCTTTTGCCCTGTGACTTTACTGACTTTACCCGGGCATTTACCATTGTGGTGGTAGAAGCCCTCCAAATGGCCACTTCCAAAACATAGGGAATTTAAATACACCTCTTGGCAACGTTATTTACCTGCAGGGCTTTGATCTGGCTATCGCTAGATTGTTCCTGCTGGCTACATTAATAAATAAAATAACTATTCGTATTATTTTGAAACCGAATTGATACAAATATTCTAAAGAAACTTTCTTACGAATTTTTTGCAAAGGACTGTGCTAAATGGATGGAATTTTGTGAAACTGTGATGTGCATAATTGAAATAAAGACCTCCATATTTTTACAAATGAGTAGTTTCCTTCCTACAAGAAACACAACCCATCAGTTGCACTATATTGGTCTCAGAAATAGGAGCATTTGAGTATGCCTGTACGTACTCAATATCCATAAATATTTAGTGTACAAGCTACGTTACCAAATGGTTTTTAAGGATCAAATGGCTTTCAAGAGCACTAGATTCATCAAAGATTGTATTTTGTTATGTAAACATTACTCCAAATCAATATTATTTTAAATTCTAAATATTATAGACAAGGTCATCTTTAGGGAAATTAAATTTGAGTGCAATCCAAGTGCAGCTCCAAGACAAATTTTCGGGGGGGAGGGGGGGCATTGCCTTTAGATATTCCCTTTTTAGCATATTTTTTTGAATAAAAGGCTCATAAATCGTAAAAAAATTTGTCTCGGGGGGCCATGGCCCCCATTATCCCCCACCCCCCGTCCTGGAGTTGCCCTTGGTGCAATCTGCAATAACTTAACATTAGATATCTACATACAAAATTGTATTGGTAAGACATTTAGTATAGTTGTAAAATTTGTTACAAAATTAATTTAAAACGAACCATATTTGAACATTTCAAATAAATGGCAGACGCAATTTTCTGTTCCTAAATCTATTTGTTATTTTCATGTAACGAACTTACTGTTGGTAAATTAACTACTTGGCAGTAAAGGTTAATTTGAGATCCGGCAGGCGCTGTGGCTACCCACAAACAATTCGTATTGGGGACGTAGTATTGAGGATAATTCTGGTTGTATATATTAGTTGGTGAATTTAATGCCAGAGACCCCGTATAACTGCAACCTGGTGGATAAATTCCTTCTGAACTTGGGACCAGGAGAACCAGCATCGCTGCTCCCAATATGGTTTGTCCAACTAAAAATTCAAATAAGTTAAAAAAGTAAATATGCTTTTTAAGAAGAATTAAAGTCTCCAACCAAATTGTAGATATACATTTTTTTGGAGCATTTGCAGTTGATCATTTATTTGGTATATTCCTATTTTGTGCCGTCCCGTTTTGTGACGCGACCTTTTTCAGGTAAAATGTTTCCCGTTTTGTGACGAGACGAATTTTTACCTGCAATAAACCTTATAAAAATTCCCATTTTGTGACGAGCATAAAACCACTTATTTGTTCCGTAATATTATATCAGTAAGTACCTTACCTACCTGATAATCCTGATATAATCCTTTCACCTTTATTAACAATTTTGTTTCACAGGTCGATTTCATCATTTCGCCTATTGTCAATCTCATAGTAGTCATAAAAATATGAAATACATTTAAAAGAAAAAAGTCGTGTGCTTTTTAACAATATATAATAAGTTTTTGCGATTTTTTTTTAACTAAAATACATTTTATGCGCTCACCAAATTTATTGGATTGAGGACGGCAAACAAACTCTTTCTGTTTAACATTAAAATCACTAGAAAATAGTATTTTGTTAGAGTAAATACGGAATAAAGGTAATAATTTTGTACACTATATTATGACACTGTTACAAAATAGTGTTATGTGTGTAACCTATGAATTTTGATAAATTTTTTATTAATTTTATTATCTTTTTTTTATGTACAATTTTTAACGAATTTTAAATGTAAAAATAAACATAAAATTCTTAATCCGACATAAATTAGTATATTGATTTATTTTAAATTATTAAAGGAATAACGAGGATGAATGCTGGTGATAAAAAGTAAACCATTTTTGAATAAAAAAAAAATTTAATTAAAAAAAAAGTCAGAATAATATATACATAAATATATTCCAATTTAAAATAAAAGCTTGTAAAAGTATGTAAAATATAATGTAATACAAAATTTTGATTCACTGCATTTTTACAATGAATGCCAAATTTGTTAAGCAATGGCCAATGTCTATTTTTTCTTCAAGAAAGTCTGCAACTGTACAGCGAAATCTTTCATCGAGTAGCACATACTTGGTTTTCCTCCGTTTTGGCGTCATATGCAACTCAACCCTAAGTTTAAGAGTATCATAATATGATGCCTCTTCTTTGAGAGCCTCTGTAAGTTGAAAAATATTCGGATTCACCCTTGCAATTTTTCCATTTAGTCTGTTGTGCCAACCTTCCAAGGAATTGGTAGTTCGGTGCCTTTGGTTATAGCACACCCACATCATACCGAAAATATCGTTATCAAGCCACTGTTCTATGAAATAATCGTTGAATTTTTGCAACAGTGGATGATCTTCGAATTTCTCCATTATCCACATCCAACCGTCGTCCACTTTATCAGGAGGAAGGTGCGATAATGCAGAACACCGTCTTATGTACATTCGTACTTTTTCATTCTCCCTATATTCGGGTGCCAGACCAATTTCTTGTACTTTTCGCCATAAACATTGGTTGAAATGAAAATTGCAACCAGTAATATTAATATCAGAAAATGTCTCACTATGAGCCTGGTAGGTAGCGACTTCGTAATCAATTTTAAAATTCTTTGGCTTCCATAATGGTATATTCTTCTGAATTAAAGAAAGAAGCCTGGTATACGTTGTTTCCTTCTTGTCTGGCAGTAGAGCAAATACAACAGGAACGATATTGGTTTCACTCTCTGTGCTGCCTCGTCGACATGAATTGTATAAAGCTGCTGAAATTGTGGACAACGGCTTTTAAATGTCCCATCACCAAAAAAATCATCGTGTTCTGTCAGGGTTTGTCGTGCTTTTAGCGAAGCGAACACCAATATTTTGGCCTCCTCGCCATCTTCAAACAACAAGAAGTCGTTTGCAATATGTCCAGGCAATACAACCTCTTTTCTGGTCTTAAAAGAGACGACTCCTAACACCTTGCGTCTGGCGGTGTAAAGTGAGTTCTTTTTGTTTCTGAAATTTGGTATTTCAGTAACAAATTCAAGCCCAGCATCCATTAATGGCGCTGTCTCATCAGTGAAAATCTTGGACATTGCTGTTGTTTCCTCTCGAGTTCTCTTTCTTGCCTTGTCTAAACATAGACTCACTTGGTTTTTGGCGACATTCGGTACACAGTTGTGGGCTGATGTTCGTACAATCTCGCCCCTGTAACAACAAAAATACATTGTCTTAGCTCTATTAACCATTATACCAGAAAATTCTTGAATCATAGTGATAGATGATACTCTTACTTTGTGGAATCTATTTATCTTAAATGAAATATTTTTACAAAAATCTACACAAAATTCATTAACGTTTCGATGCATCATTTCCAAAATCATCGTCAAAAACATAATAATTAAAAGCATAATTGAAATTTAAAATTTAACATTATTTGTAACAAAGTCACATTGATATTACTTGAATAATCGTAAACAAGCCATGTCAATTGTTTTTGATGATGATTTTGGAATAAATCGAAACGCTAATGCATTTTTTGTACAGTTTTATAATTAAGTCTTTGATTTTTATTAAAGTTGGCAAGAAGTCTTTACCTTCCTACACAAAACTCCATTATTTATATTACAGGTAAAATACTTACTTGAATCAATCTACAATTGTTTTGCAAAACAAATTCAGCTTTGAGAAACAATAATTCTAGATTGATGGCTAAGTATTTTATCTGCAATATAGTGGAAATTTACATTTTTTTATAAAAAAAATTGATTCTTGAATTAATTAATAATAATAGTTTAATTTCTTCATTAGGTCTATATAGTGCATAAAAAGGCATTGGCGTATGAAGGTGATTTTTTAAATTGCCTGCAAAGCATTGAAAATAAAAAATTACAAAATAAAATATTACAATTATAACAAAAATTGTGAAAAATATTAAGGACACAGTTACCTATTTGTTAAAATTGCACAAGGACAAAATATATCTATACTACAATAAAAATAAAAATACTTACTGGCTCGAAATTGTTACGGCTCCAGAACACTGTTTTCTATTCACACACATCCAGGCTATAGAAGAGTTTTGATTTTTTTTTCTTCAAATAGTAGCGGTGGCCGGAACATAGAAGATTCCTTCTACCACCATTACTTTCGATATATTCAATATTCAATTTTAAATATAAACAAATCGCTTTGAAAACTATAAATGCACAATCTATCACACGGAAAGACAAGATGAACATTAAATTATTTTCTAAAATTGTTACCTATTTATGTTCCCTGTTTCATCCAATTTCAAGGAAAACTAAAAATACCCCCATCCTCTAAATAAGGAAATCTTAAAAAGGATTATCCTAATGACCTTTAACTATCTAAATTAATTATCTCTTAAGTAAGTAGATTTGGGAAAAAGCTTTTAAAAGTGAAAGGATTATTTTTAGTAACAGGTAGATATTATTTATTATCCGCTTTCATTTCAAAACTACCAGTCGAAATAACTTTTGATTTTATGCAAATTTAGAAAAACAAAAAACACGCTGTTCTTCCCTTTTAACGCGCCCCAACCCTTATTGAAAAGTCAAATGGCAATCCTTACCTTAAAACTTAAAAAAATGTAATCCAACCATATAAAGCAAAATCTATTATTTTGATTTAGTTTTCAAATAATATTATATGAGAATAGTGAAATTACTTCGAAAACTGAAACAGTCATTTACAAAAATATCTGAAATTTTATTTACAAAAACTATTCAATAAAATGGGCTGTGTTATTTTATAAACAGTAATATTCTATTTTAAATTTTTATCAGGTAGGTAAGGTACTTACTGATATATAATATTACGAAACAAATAAATGGTTTTATGCTCGTCACAAAACGGGAATTTATTGCAGGTAAAAATTTGTCTCGTTACAAAACGGGAAACATTTTACCTAAAAAAGGTCGCGGCACAAAAGGGGACGTCACAAAATAAGACGACACCATTTATTTGATCGTTAATAAATTAAAATAAAAGTGGTATGTAGTAATTGATTGTAAAATGAATATACAAATAGGATAAGAATAAAGCTATTTTTTTGAAATATCCCTAGATGCTTATTCAATAACATAATAAATAATGTATATTCCCTTAAAAATCTTTACCTTCTAAAATTTTAATTTTATATAAAAAGATAACCTACAAGGCTATGATTTGTGTACAAAATAAAATTATAGAAATGCGATAAACATTAAAGGTAAATGATATTTTTTTAATGGTCAAGAAAAATTTCCATTTAAAGTACTCCGGATGTATGATTTTTTCTTAAAAGATTTTGTACTGAAAGTTTAAAAAAAGACAAGAAGTAGATACACAGGCTGGGCCGAAATATGCATAATTTTAAGTAAATAAAAATTAAGTTTGCAATACCTATAAAAACTTGAGTTTTACTGTGCTTACTTTTCGTAATTTGTTTTTAAATTTCTAAATCCACATTTTCAGGCCTCTACCGACCCCTTTAAGGGTAAAAAGTTAAAGTTACATTTTATTGTGTGTATTCACATTCTTTATTTTTAATATTTTTTAATAACATCTACAGCTCTCTAATACCCCTTTTAACCAATGTTTAATCCTCTTGTCTTTAAAAGATAAGGTAAAAATTACTTGAACAACACATAAATATTACACGATTAAAACTAAACAAAACATTTATTTGAAAAATAGTAAAAAGTATTTAAAGAAATCAAACATAAAAATCTTACATATCAAATTCTTTAAACATTTACTTAATTTTAAACTATCGTTTACTTTCAAATGTTGCTATAATTTCTTTTGATTTTATTTTTGAGCGAATAAAGTCGTCCCTTGATTCTGAAACAATTGAAGGGCTCGGTGCAAAAACCGGTCAACTCCATTTTGTGTCGAATTTTAGTTTTTAGCTTTAATGCATAAAATCGCTAATTACGCATCTATTGGTACAAGAATCAGTCAAATCCAACCTATAGTAACTGAAATATATACGTTGAGGAGTTGACTGAAAGAAATTTCGGGGCAAGAAACGGCTACCTTCA